ATTATTCTTTCAAAATGCCAATTAATCTATTATACGTAATGTCAAATAATAATCTTTTATAATTTAGTAGAATAAAATTAATAAAAATTACAAATGAAATAATTTTTTTAACTTTTTCATGAAAAAACTGCTATTGCAATTTGCTTTTAAGTAGTACAAAAAACCAACGACAAAAATATATTTTTGATTCCTCTCTTTGTTCTTTCCTTTTAATTCATGTAGCGAATTAATATATCTATGATTTTGTTAAAAAAATTTTTAATAGTCACTTCATTGTTTGCATACCAAACGCTGTATATCTTGCCAGCAAAATAGAGTATAGAAAGCTAACTTTCATAAAACGAGAGTTTCAAAAGGCAAATGTGTCAAATGATAGCTCTCTTTCCTAGCTTCGTTAGCCTTTTACAAAGCAGCTCGAATGCACGGCGTTTGATAACGATATGAGCATGGCACGTAGAACGAGCGCATCGGGTAGTGAATGGCCGAGCTTGTGCACGGTCCGGTCGTTTGTGGTGCACAACACAGCTGCATATCACCGGCCTTTGTGGAGAATAAAACGGGCTGATGGCGGACGTCGGTCGGTAGGACGTGGGACGAGCATGCATGCAACACGATAGCGTGTGTATAAAGACGTTGGTTGGCATACATACGTGCGACATCAAACAAGACTGCTCGTGTGTTTGCATGGGAATGGCCGGCCTCTCATTCAATTTGTCCGGTGCACGGCAGGCATTAGGGGCGCCGTTTGACGACGCTGTCTGACGCAAATGGGCACGCGAAACCCGAGATCCTGCATTGTGCGAAATTGCTCTATGATGAATACATTCCTCTTTGTGACGGATTGGCTTTGACAAATAATATGTATTTGCCGGTGACACAAGAAGAAGAGTTCGAATCGGATTTCGGGCGACACGCCCACGCAGGCAAGAATGGAAGAGACAGGAGAATGGAGTCGTGAGGAGATGATTTGAGGCGGCTCACGCCGAAAATTATGAATGGTTTTTGAGAGAAATGGCTTAACCCAAAAGGATTAAGTTTGAATGGATTTTATATAATTAGTTGCAAAGTGTCTTTATTGATTGTATCAGAAGGCAATTACTGCCCAGGTACATCATACATATATTCAAATAAAATTATCAATTTACATAATAGAGAGGAAAATTATCTCAAAAAAATTCACATTAATCAGTATAATTATATTATAAATTATTTTGCTATCCTTAAATTGAACCCAGTACAAATTAGTTTCATGAATTTCATGAATGTTGAAATTCAAGCATTTTGGTAGCTAACAAAATTCAATTGTAATAGACAGACGTTGAAGTATATCACTTAGTTTTCGTCAAAAAGTTTTAATCATGCTTAATATCAATCAATTTGATTTTATCCTAATTATGCTTTCAATTTTGAATAATATAGCCTGGAGAAAAAAAATAATGATCAAATGAAATGTACTGATTTCAGCAAAGTCAACATATTTATATTTAAGAAATTCAAATGATATTATTACTATGAATCAATTTATAAATTATATTTCATTTTAATGTAACTGTGCTTTTTCTACAACTTAAATTGCAAGAAAAAATCTGGTATGTAATTTAATTGAAAAGATGCCAACAATATAAGAAAATTATTTTATTATGTATTTTAATAGATAAATTTTTAATTTGTAACACAATTTTCAATATTTTCAGAACCTTTTAAACATCGTCTAATGCAGAAATATTATTATTTATCTGATCGTTGAGGCAAAAATACGGTGCACTTTTCAGCCTCAAACTCACATTTTGCTTTCAAAATTGTTGCACTTTGTGTTCATGCAAACAAGCAAAGGTTGACTTTTGAGAGGATATCAAATTAAACAGTCGTCACCCTTGCGAACCCCTTCGCAGACGGCAACTTTCAAATGTGTCGCAATCAGAAACTTTGGCCTTAATCACCAGCCTAATTAGAGTACACTCGGTGTTTGCTGGGAGAAGCAGGTACTTTGCAAACTAAAGCAAGTATAAGAAAGTGCCTGCAGTCGAGGTTGGTTCGGTCGGCAGGTAGCTTTCCGCGAAACTTATCAACGGTTGATCTAATTTGTCGGCGCGCGCGCCGCAAACACATCTCTCAGGGCCCGGCTATTTATTATTCCCGCAACGTATCTGCGGTCCAGGGAAAGGAAGTTCACGGGCCAGTGCAGTGCTGAGGCTGCACCCGACTCGAACGAAACTTTCCTTTCGTCTTTAATTGGTGTGCCATTTGCGATAAATCAGAGGCCGCCTGGCTGCCACCAGGCCTGTTTAAAACCAACAGCACTTAAGGAGCCGAGTGAGTGAGGGAGAAAGAAAGAAGCCGCTCTGCCGCCGTCAAGTGCTGGCAGAACTTTTTAAAACTCCCAAAGGGGTAATGGAGGGAGCGAGATAAAAAATTCTTTTGCGCGGGAAATGACACTTTTTAAGACGCCATTAGCGACCCACTCGAATCGCGGTCTTGGCCCCGGTTTTTCGAGGGCCCGATTAATTACAAAACATATAATCCCGCGTTGATGGTCTTTCTTTTCTTTCTTTCATGATTAAACGGAACTGCGTATTAAATTGAAATTATACGTTTTCATCCTTCCTTGCAGCTCGAGGTAATTTTTTTGCTCTCCTCCTCTGTCTGCGCCGCACACAGCACGCTTGAGAGAAGTAACATACTTTGCGAGAGAGTATAAGAGGATTACGACAACACACCGGCAGTACGCGGAAAAGCAGCGGCTCTCGCAACTCGCCTCCTCACACAGATCCATACGAACTCGAGTGGGCCGAATATTATGCCTGAATGAAAATGTTGCTGAGAGGCCCAGCCGTCCGGGACCAACAAGTAACAAAACAGAGTCCGTTTGCTTTTCATATAAAAATTCATCCCCTAGTTGGAAAGAATCGCCACCACAATTTTGAAGGAAATTAGATTTTAAATAAAATATATTCAATATATTATTAATATTTTTGCTCTTTTACACAAATTTTTTTTAGTAAAAATAAAAATTAAAACATTATTTTACTAAAAAAATTTAATTTGATTTACTTAGTTGTCTTTATTTTTTGTAAACTTATTTTACTTTTAACATTATTTTAATTCAACATATACAATATAAAATTTTTAATTATTATAATTTAATTCTGTTTACATCACTATGGCTTGTAAGTGATAATAAAATAAACAATGTATTATGTTCTTAACAAGGTTGATGACATGTAAAATTATCTTAAGTATATCAAATATAATTAGAATAATATATATCAATCCTCATTTATCATAAAATTTAACATACTGGTATCCAAGAAATTACGAATAATAATTTCTGAACCTACATTAAATCAAAATTTACAAAAAAAAAAATTAAAGCATTATTTCTATAAAAAGTAAATCATTATCATGGTTAATTCATTAAATACATAATACACACTTGCGTACACTGTAGCCTGAGACTGCTTTTGTGTTGGCAGTTTATTAAATGCAAAATTCAGCAGCTCCGTGGCATTCCAAGCACCCTTTTCCGCGCTTTCCGCCGCGAGAGCCATCGAAAGCACGCGAATAATGTGCGCCGGCACTCGAGAGATTGCAAATTGCTGCGAGCAAGAGCGGTTCCTCGACAGCCAGGTGGCAGAGCGCAGGTACAAAAAAAGAAGGAGAAAGAAAGAGGTACTCGAGCCGCTTTTGTTTACGCCAAGCGCAGCGACTTAATAATTATTTTGCGTACGTTCGTCGAGAGTACGCTCTCCTTTGTGTGCAGTTAATTCGTTACTTTAATTTGTTCCACCTCGCTCGCCAACAAGCAACTTCATTTCGGACAAAAGCAGCGCTCGCTCGGTCCAACGAAAAAGTAAACCAAATTAAGACAAAGCGCGGCGCTGCTCCTTAAACTGTGTCATTTTTCTTCACGCATTCCGCGCTAGACACATTGAATTAAAAGCGGGAGCCCTTCCGAAACCTTTTTCCTCTCTTTTTAAATTACACTTTTTTCCTCTCTTTCGTGCGCTCGCTGCGTTTGCGGTCGGTATTAATTCCTTTTTGCCCCGCTCTGCAAAGAAAAAAAAATTGCGACTCGCTCCCTTTTATACATCCAGAAGCAGAGAGAAAGACCAAACTTACTTTTTGTCAGCTGACAAGGTGAAATATTTTTCTCACAAAACTCACGGCCTTTATTGTGCTGCGCGGAAAAGCGGCTTACTCTCTGTGAATTCGGAAATACGAAGGAAACCCTTCATTATTTATCGTCTTAATTAATTTCCCGCCGTCTGTTCCGCGTCACTAATCGCATTCTCCATTTACTTCTTAAGAAACTAGAGCTCCTTTCGATCAAGTCCGACCTTAGCAGGCTAAATTTTTTGTCGAGTTTCATAAATATTTAATTAGCACCGGGACAAAGCCCAAGTTTCAAAGGGTCTTGAGGCAGTCGGGCTTATTAGATCTTCATTTCGCTACAAAGTGAGAGCGAGCAAAGTAGGGAGGTGTCGGGGTGAATGGGCAATCATTGGTCAAGGGCCGATGCGAGAGCCAAAGGGTTTGACCGCAAACCTGGCTCTCCCTCAGTTTGAACACGACACAGGAGGCAGAGGGTGTTGCAGCCACAATTTGCATTTGCAGTTTGCAAATGTGTACGTGCGAATGCATTGATGAGATACAAAAAAGAAATCAGCTTTAGAATTGCTATTAGAATGGTAAAGTAGTCATTTTCTTAAAGAAGTTTAGAAAATTTGAAAATAGTTGCAATTTTAGAAATAAAATAATTGTTTAAAACTATTTTGAAAGAAAAAACCAGGGCAATCAGTTGAAATTTGTAAAGATAAAAGAAAAAATTAATGAAAGATTTGATCAATATGAGAATTTTATACGACACTGTAAAGTACAACACGTGCACGTGGAACATACAGATTTAAAAACATAGATTTCAGATCAATTAAATAATTAACTTTACATCGCTCTCATATGATCACCTATTTTCCTAGCCTATTTAATGAATCTGTACTTACTTAGACACATGAAACGACCATCAAATTTCAATTTCTCTATTCGTACCTAGAACAAACAGAAAAAGTTTATGTCATAAAAATTGTAGCTAGATGCATAAATATACAAATCTATAAAAAAGCAATTTTCTGTGGCAAACAAAAATTAATTTTCACGCAGCGGCGCCGGCTGCAGTTTTCCGCGAGGCAACAAAACTCTTGAGCTTTATGGGTCGTAAAAATTGTGTGCCAATGCTGCAGTGAAAACAAAGTGTGAGGAGCCGGTGGTTCACGGCAGTTCAGGTTGGCCAAATTTTCCGGCCACTTTTATACGCCCTGGATACTTGGGAGCTTAACTGCGAGTAATGAATGTGTTTCGCGCGCATCCTCTCACGATTCGCGAAAACACGTTGTCTTTATTATCGCGGTCATAAATTCATGAGAATGACGAGCACTTGAATGAGGATGACGAGGCATTGTTTGTTGAGTCCGCGCGTTTTTTTTTCAGGGAAAAATCTAAAATAAATCCAAATTCCAAACTAAAATCTTGTGGCTCACACTCCCGCTGTCAATTAATTCGATATTTATTTGCCTCAGAATATGAGATAAAAATCAATTAATTCCCTTTAACGTTATAAAATTTATACCACATTGTTGTTTGTAAACAACATTTGAAATACATAAGCAGGAAAATTTATTTTTTCAACAATGAAAAATTACAACAATTTGAAATTTTTCAAATATTCATAAATTCATCAACGGTTTTAACGGTTTCCGATTTGAAATCCAATTTCGAAAATGCAAGCTTTGAACGTTCCGGCGTGTCTCTTTCCATCTCAAAAACGAGTGATGTTCAAAAAGAGCTGGCGACTCTCTCGCATCGCTGGAGTTGCGCAGATGCAGGAAGCTGGGGAAAAGTATTCCCTCTGTTGCTCGTGTCATTTTCAAAATTCCGCCTCTGAATGGCCGCGTGGAAAGTAAAAGAACTATTATTTTCTGTTTAAAAAAGCATTTTAATTTTTTTTTTTATAATATTTCTCAGGCCACCGTAGGCACGCTGAGGTGCTTTACGATTTCGCAAGGACCCAAAAAATCAATGTCTTGTTCGGAAAGTCATACCCCGTGCCTGCTGTCGGAATATCTACCGAACCATCTGCCGCAGCGTCTCCGAGCCGCTGTTTCAAACGACGAATTAGAAGCTCTGACCACCGAGGAACTGTTCGCCATTACCATTTTTAATGGCTTTGTGCCAAATGGATTTGTGGGTAAGTTAATTTTTAAAAATGCTTAAGATTTTACTTAATAATTCACGCTTTTTTAAAGGACGGAGGGCCCTCCTCGATTATCTGCATACTTTAGCGAACAGGCTCCCAGAAGGACAGGTCTTCATTGATGACAGCGAGTTTGAGGTCGCTCAGGAACTTCAGGCCGGCGGCATTTGGCGCCTGATCTCTAGGATCCGTGGCTTTCTGCAGATTTAAACACTGGCTCACGGTCGCTACCGCTCGTTCTTCAAAACACCTCTTTCTTTAATAAAGACAATAAAAATCTAAAAAACCTTACTATTTAGAGGGAATTTTTTACATAACAGAATAAATTGATTTTTTTTTTTTTTTGCATAATTGAATCAACAAATTTTAATCATTCTCTTCACACACCTTTAAAAAAAATCAGGATTACATATTTTAAGTTTGCACCCAAAGGTGCAATAATGATATAATAATAATAATATATAATAATGATGGTCAATTCGATTGTTGAGCTTTGGCCGAGGGCAGGTGCGGCCTCTGTACTTTGTCCGCCCGCCCAAGATTAGATGTCACAAAGTAAGTCCCCTTGTTCGCCTAGCCCCGCTCTCGCCATATCGTCCAGGAAGCATTAAGAAGTCATCGCCGGGGCGACCAGAGACCACCGCTGGGGTCGAGATATTGAAGAGATCTGTCTGCATTTTGTTTGCGGATACAAGCGACAGGGGGCCAACTCTTGACCCTCTTGCACGTGAGAATGTTTCATCCAACGGGACTTCAGAAAACGCTTCATTGTTCGAGTATGATTTCAAAATTCAACAACCCTTTCATAAAGCTTTCAATAAGAAATAAAATTCCATGGAGGAGCTTATTTCTCCTCCTTGTTGAGTATTGGTTTAATATTCGATGAATTTCTGTCATATGCGTTTTTATTTGTGCCTTTAAAAGCTCTCAACTATATATTTTAAAATTTGAAATTTTGTAAAACATTTTATATTTAAAATCAATATGAAATCAAATAATCCTTAAATTAAGAAAAAAATAATTGTTCTTTTTGCTGAAATTATCTCAGTTTTACTCTGTTCAATTTTCTTCTGAAATCTTCAAAATAACTAATAATTTAAAATAATATATAAGATATATATTATACAAAAATGAAATAATTTTTTTGAAAGCAAGTTAAAAGTTTACATGCTATGGGAAAATCGCTCTTAATTACTCACTCATTACTTAATTAACAAATCTGTAGGGTTTTATTATAAATATTTTAAAATACTTCGTTAGAACACGACATATAATTTGCTGAATTTATGTAAAACAAATGTTGTTTAATCCGAGTTTATTACGTCCCACCCAGTTTTTAACAACAATGGCAATGTGGGTGTGTAAATTTCTCTATTCGTACCTAGAACAAACAGAAAAAGTTTATGTAATAAAAATTGTAGCTAGATGCATAAATATACAAATCAATAAAAAAGCAATTTTCCGCGGCTAACAAAAATTAATTTTCACGTCGCGGCGCCGGCTGCAGTTTTCCGCGAGGCAACAAAACTCTTGAGCTTTATGGGTCGTAAAAATTGTGTGCCACTGCTGCAGTGAAAACAAAGTGTGAGGGGCCGGTGGTTCACGGCAGTTCAGGTTGGCCAAATTTTCTGGCCACTTTTATACGCCCTGGATACTTGGGAGCTTAACTGCGAGTAATGAATGTGTTTCGCGCGCATCCTCTCACGATTCGCGAAAACACATTGTCTTTATTATCGCGGTCATAAATTCATGAGAATGACGAGCACTTGAATGAGGATGACGAGGCATTGTTTGTTGAGTCTGCTGCTTCTCTTCGTATGCTCTGTGTATGGCCTGATGGTAAACATTAAAGACGGCGAGCGAGAGAGAGCGAATGGCTGGCGCAGTTTTACAGTTTAGCGAAATGCGAGCGTGCTTGAGCGGCACGCTGATTTACGGCCGCAGTTAAAGTTAGAACAAAGCGCTGCTGTCAAAGGCTGGAATTAACGAAAATTAATCTTGTAATCTGCACGCCGAGCGCGACAAACCCTTTCGATGACGTGAACGCAAATTATTGGCTCCAAAATCTGATCAAGTCGAAAATAACTCACGCTCATGTGCAAAATTTATATTGAGTGAACAAACATATTGTTATAAAGATAAATAAATTTTTATGCGCAAAATGCTGACTATAAATGTAGTTTTATTAATCAAGCAATAAAATAAATGTCCAGTTGGGAAATTAATTTTTTAAACCAATATTATTAGTAAGTTCAAACCTTATGTTATATTTATATATATATATATATATATTTTATTGTTGTTTATTTATCCAATTGTTACAACCCCGTTATTTACAATCATGAACACATTATAAAAAAAAATCAATTTATTAAATAAAATAATTTATTATATTACAAAATCTATAAAAAAATCTTCACTTGGAAAAACATTTTAAATTATATTATTAACTATACTTAGTTTTGTTTAAAATAATTTTTTATTTTTACCTAATATTTGTAAAGCACATTTTATTTATTATATGTACTAACGAGTTAAAGAGTTCATGTAATTCCAAATATGTTTTCGTATTCGTAACTTTCTTTAGAATAAAATTATTAAGTCAATAATAAAAAAAAAATCATAATTATGTATTAAATATAACTTTCATTTAGACCAGGTGCTCTAATAAAAAAAAAATCATATCTACCTGTCTATAATTTGACTCTCTACCAAAATAAATTCGAACTTTTGTATCATTTCACATTAGAGCTTATCTGGAGCATACAAAAAACTAGCTATATTTTGTGCTGCAGAGTTTAGAACTAACGGAAATAAAAATTTGGTGCAAAATGAAAGGGCTATATATAAAGCGGTGTAATAAAAATACTCGTTCGTTTTTTAAATTTTTGGTTGTCTATTTGTGTTCTCCGCGTGAATTCAAGTAGAAGTACTTTAATCCTAGCAAGTGAACCGGTCGAGCAGAATTTTTTGCCCATAGCACACAGACTAACGCCATCGAAACTTTAGACGTCGGCGAATCGGTCTGGGGAACTTTGGAGGATTAGCAGTGTTATTTGCTCAGCTAAGTGAGTTTGCAGATAAAATTTGATGCGAATTTTCATAGGCGCTGAAATTGGTGAGTGCGATTGTTTTGGCCGGTCAAAAGGCCCGGCGGACTAATAATAAAAATAATAATCTGGCAAAAGCCTGGCCATTTTTTGAGTTGGTGGCTCTTGGGTCACGTCAGCGGCAGGAACGTGGCAAGACAAAGCGGACGAGGCCTGAATTAAACGCGCACGTCAATTTGAGCGTAGGGAAGAAACGACGGTGGAATCGCATGATGGCCAAAATCCGATTTGGAAAGGAAGGGCGAGCACACACGACTCTCGAATTGGCGCCGCTCCAACTATAATAATGCCACTGCCGCGCCGCTTCATAATGGCAGTGCAAGTGGTTGATTTAGCCGCGGCGTATTGTCTGGGGGGCCAAGCGATATTTATGCGCCGATTTTCCTTTTCTCTCTCTCTGGCTCGTTCAATAATAAAGTCGGCATGTACTGCTTGCTCAGTTACTTAGTCAGAGAGAAACTTTGTGTGTATTATCTGCTGAGACCCGAACTGGGGATGCGACGGTAAATCTAGAATTAATGCTCCCTTTCGACGCAGTCAGCATAAATGGGATTTTTAAATTGGATCATGCAAGGGCGAGTTAATAGGAAATTTAAATTGTTTCTAACGAAGCTGCTGAAAATCGGCCCCGGGCTGGAAACCTTATTTTGAAAGCCTTGAGAACAGCACAGTCATGGTGATTTGAAATC